ACGCTTTTAGATAAATGTTAAAGATGATGATGATGAGGAAGAGGATGTTGTTGGATGATGATGATGATGATGATGATGTTGTTGTATGATGATGATGATGATGCTGTATGAGGATGATGATGATGCTGGATGATGATGGTGATAATGATGAATAAATTTGTAACTCTAACAGCTCATAAAAGTAATGGATTAACAATCAGAAGAAAGATGAGAGAATGTATCTTATCATGATGTCATAATCATCGTCGTCGTCATCATCATATAACAATCAATCAATCCAGAAATTAATCAATCAGTCAGTCAATCAAAATATAACCAACCAACCAACCAATCAATCAATCAACCCATCAACCAACCAACCAATCGATCAATCAATCAACCCATTAACAAACCAACCAATCAATCAACCAACTAATCAATCAATCAATCAATCAATCAATTTATATTATATGAAAATTTTGAAAAGTAAAAACTCGTGAAGCATTACATTTTTTGGTGAACACTCTATTTTTGCGGAGACCTCTGCTGCGAGATTTCTTTCAATGCAAGAAACAACGAGTAAAATGTTTATATTTTATTGTCGTTGTGCTAAAATGAACAACAACGTTCGGCTATACGAATTGACAAAGAGGATAGAGCCGCAAGCAGAGGAGATTTCTCCAAACAGCAACCACACCCGCGAAAAGAGAGCCTACATCGGCCGTCTTAATCTCACGTTTAAAACCAGAAGGTAGCAACACTAGAAGGCAATCTATTTACAATATAGTCATAATCAGACAGCAGATAATCTGCTTTGAGAAGAAATCTTTCAGTTAAAATAATTTCTAACTTGATAATTGAAATAACTTGAAATAATAAAGAAATTTTTCAGTTAAAATAATTTCTAACTTGATAATTGAAATAACATCGGCTAAAACAACAAGAACAAAATGAACGGCGATGATTTCATATTTGAATTAATTTTTGAAAAAATAATTTTTTTTAATCCATTTTATTCAGGAAAAAATATTTTTATTATATTTTATTCATATTTGCGAATAATTTGCAAGGTTTGCTGGATCGCCAACAAACATTCAATCGAATATACCTACCAACAATTTCGAGATTTTTATGAAGTAAGATACATGGCTGCTTTGCTTTTATTTGATATCATTTAAAATAAAAAATGTGAATTTTTTAAAAAGTTCAGATTTTAAACAAACGAGTATAACGAAATATCGGCCAATAAAAAATTATTATTTATTAATATTATTATTAATTATTACTATTATTATATAGTGATGTTTCGATCCTTTGTTAATATATCAATTCCCGTTCGGTTTCAGTTCTTTTCAGGTATGAAATTTTGATTTAGATTTTTTTTGAACGAAATTCAACTCAATAATTAATTTGTTTTTACATTTTATTGAAACAATTTAAAAAGTTAAATGTTAAAAACGTAGTATTATAAGTCTTAAAACATATGTCAGAAATTATTATATGTCTTAAAACATATGTCAGAACTCAGAGTAAACATCTATCTAATTATGCCGCTTCCAAAATTCAATCAACTTTTTGTTTGTATTATCACATGCACTTCTTAGAAGTTCTCAAAGGATAATAATCCATATAACATGAACATTTAGTAAGAACAGTTCACAACATATCATAATGGCTAAATCAACATACCAAAGAGAAATTATTTATACATGCATACCTATATACAAAGTTAATCAAGAAATACCAAAAATTGTATAACCAAATTAAAAAACTAGAAACCAGTCAACATTTAATGAATAAATAAATAGACATTATTAAAAAGATTGTTCAAAAAAGTAAAATTTAAAGCGACGACGAAAAAAAATTTAGTATGTTTTGTTGGTGTGGTAGTGTGAAGCAAAAACAAACAAATAACAAAAAATAGTAAAAAGTCGTAAGAATAGTAGTCAGTCACCTACCTACAATTAAATTACTCTCAGGGCCCTAGCTTACCTATAATGATTAACTCATCTCACCCACCTACAAATTTGTATTTCTAAGTTTTAGGAATTTTACATGTTTCAGGTATTGTATTTTACATATTTTAACTTTTTTAATTTGCCTTTCTGTATAATTTAATTTTTTTTTGTTAGAAACTTTTTAATTAATGTTAAGCCCTAGCCTACCTACGATTGTCCAACTCATCTCAATCCCTAACTTACCTACGAATTAAATTAAAGTCCGGTAAAGAAAATAGCAAGTTGAAGAGAAACGTAACAACGACAACACCGAAAAATGGATGCCGTGTATGTGTGTGTTGTATTGATGTGTGTGTGTGTAAATGTGCGTGTGTACTCTCCAGAAACTTCTTCACAACGGATGAACCTCCATTGCACCGACCATCATCTGACACGCTCGTGAATTTGACCGGATACTGAAAAACACTAAATCTGAAAAAAATAAATTTTTTAAAATAAAAACCAAGCCATTGGAAAAAAGCAATAGGCAATTTATCTTACTAAGGTAGCAATCCACTCCAATCCCCCTAAAAAATCGTCGTTGTTATCTTCGAATTGTCATCATGATCATCATGAGACCACCATCTGAAACGTGCTGACGCCCACCACAGCCCACCTCTCATCATTCTGCAGACACATTTTTTTTTTATTAGCGTAGTCGTAAATCAAAGAACAAAGGAACGAACGAGTAAATGATTAACTGAATGATTGAATGATTGGTTGTATGAATGAGTGAATGAATGGATGAATGAATTAATCAATCAATGATTTAATGAATGAATAAAATGAATTAACAAATCAATTAATGTAAAAATAATTTAAAAGATTGAATGCTAAGATGAACGAATGAATGAGAAAAATAAAAAAAAACGAAACTAAACCTTTACTTCAAAAATTGTCGTTACTGTACTCCATTGCACCGACCACCATCATCTGGTCGGCACACAAGATGTCATCCGAACTTCAGAGTGTCAATCGAACAGCCAACGAGCTGATTCTTTCTACACCACCATCATCATATGTGAATCGTCATGAGATCACCATCTGAAACGTGCTGACGCCCACCACTGCCCACCTCTCATCATTCTGCAGACAAAATTTTTTATTAGCGTAGTGAGTAAATGAATGTTCGAGCGAAGGAACAAACGAATAAATGATTGGTTGATAAAGGGAACGAATGAATAAATTAATCAATCAATCAATAAATCAAAGAATGAATATAATTAATCAATTAAATAATTTGAAAGATTGAGTGAGGAAATGAATGAATGAGAAAAATAAAAAAACGAAACTAAACCTTACCTCAAAAATCGTCGTCACTGTACTCTTCATAGCACCGACCACCACATTCAGATCGGCACACAAGATTTCATCCGAACTTCTGAGCGTCAGTCGAACAGCCAACGAGCTGATTCTTCCTACACCACCATCATACGTAAATCATCATGAGACCACCATCTGAAACGTGCTGAGTCCCACCACTTCCCACCTCTCATAATTCTGTAGACAAAATTTTTTTTATTAGCGTAGTAGTAAATGAATGTTAGAACCTTAGAAGCAAAAAATTATAAAATGAAAATAATGGCAAATAATTAATATCTTAAAATAATAAAGAAAGTAAAATGTAAAAAAACTTACCGTCGTCCATTCGACAAAGGCAGAATGTTGAATGCGGTCCGGTTCCTACGTTGTCCTCCAAAACTGCTGCCAGTCCTCCTCGAGATTTTTGTTGAAACACAGCCCGTGTTGATGGAGAAAGATAGAGAAAGAGTAGATTCTCATCAGAAAGCTTAGCGGTGCATGCATCTCAAATTGTTTAATAAAAATAATCCTATCTACCTATTCAATTACCTTAACTAATCTATATTAAATTGTTAATGGTACGATAGTCGAAAGTCCCCCTTCATTCTCCCTCCTTGAACAGAAGTTCACCGACAGCCAGGGCACCGGATAGAAAACCATTGCCGTGCGGATAGTAGACTATTGCCGTGCGGATAGTAAACCATTTGCCGTCCGGAAGCCGTGCGGGTAGTAGACTATGGCCGTGCCGCATAGTAAATCATTACCGTGCAGATAGTAAACCATTGCCGTCCGGATAGTATACCATTGCCGGCACAACACTGGCCACCAAGGCTTGCCTCTGACAACGGACTTTGAAATCCAGAGTCAATCGGCTATCGTACCCTCAACTTACCTATTCATTACAATTAAGCCCTAGCTTACCTAAAATTACGAAATAACTCAAGAGCCCAATTCATTGGCCAATCGGCACCCACCCCACCACCTACGTAATGCCTTGGGCTCCAACTTAGTAATAATAATATAAAACTTAAACCCTAAATCTATTAATGAGTGTGTGTTACAACGTAGCCTTAACTTACCTATTCATTACATTACGGTCCTAGCTTACCTAAAATTACAAAACTCAAGAGCCCAATTCATTGGCCTTTCGGCACCCACCCCACCACCTACGTAATGCCTTGGGCTCCAGCCTAATAATAATAATGTAAAACCTAATCATTAACTTACCTATCGATACACTTACAGCGTTTATTTAATTTACATTACAAGATTGTTTCTAGAATTACATTATTGCCCTTAATTACTTATAAAATTAAATTACACTCAAACTTATTAATAATAAATTAGAATGTGTAATGAAAATAAAATAACGCTCAAATACTAACATATGTGTTTATGTATGTATTTGTGTGTGTGTGTGTGTAATACGCTGATGCGTGTAATGTGGGTGCGAGAAAAAATAGAAGAGATAAACTTACACGCCTACCTATTCAACTACATTAGTGTTGGATGCTTTCTATCTATCCTACCTACAATTAAAATTATGCCTATTTAACCTACCTATATAGCTACTTAATGTAATTGTGTGTGTGTTTTGTGTACGTGTGAGCATTCTTACTTAATGTTAAATTACGGAGAAAAACAGAGAAAAAAGTATAAAACGAATCCCAGCCAGGCGTATTTTTTTCCACTGGATGAACGAACGTAGGCTGACATCTTCCATGATGAATTCCTCTGGAAGCTTCAACCTGAATGAAATGAAAAAATCATATTTATTTAATTAATTTAAATAAAAATAGAAAAACGAGTCGCGGTGAAACCCGCCAGCCGGAAAAGCCAGCCAACTGGCAAAAAAAGGAACCACAAAGACATTGTAAAACGTACCCTAGCCAGGCGTGCATTCTTTGCCACTGAATGAACGAACGTAGCGTAACTTCACAACCATTCTGATCGTCCACGATGAACTCCTCTGGAAGCTTCAACCTGAATGAATGAACCTGAAAAAACCTAAATGAATGGAAAAATCTTATTCAATTTAAATGAAAATAACCGCAAAGAAACCGACCGGTCGGCAAAGAAAAGAACTTCAAAGAAAGGTATCTATATAGGATTTATGCTCTATATAACTCTATATAACTCTACATAACCATGCATACTACCACATTCAATCAATAAAAATCTTTCTAAAACAAGGAACAACCGCGTACCTGCTGAATGTATGGTGTGAAACATAAAAAAACACAAAACGAAAATCACACAACAAAGTAAGAGTAAAAGAATAGAAGTCCTTAACCTACCTATATAACTAAATTACCTTATGCCCTAGCCTACCTATATAATAAATTAATTTTTAATCTCACCTACCTATGTTTTATTAGCTTAACTTAAGACTCATAACGAAAGAGAAAAAGGAGTAAAACAGAGCATAAAATTCTACCACACAAACAAACATGATGTATGTATGTGTGTATGAGCAACCGCTAAAGCACCCACTTAAAATAAAAAAAACAAAAAAACATACAAATCACAGACAAACATATATAACCGCGCAACTCTATATAACTCTATATAACTCTATATAACTCTATATAACTCTATTTAATAAAATAAATAAAATAAAAAAAATAAATGAGATCAGGCAGACTGCTTCACCTCAAGCGAGGCAGAATGCCTGATCTGATTTTCATGCCGTCTCAGCTCCTATTTATACTCGTTTCAGCCATACATTTTCATCATTTCAATTATTCACATCAGTAAAAAACTTATTTAATGTATGTACTACACTGTTTTACAGTTTTAACAACAATGTTAACCGTACTAAATTGACGTCATCGAACGAACGCCTTCGAAACTTTCTGATTGGCTGGTGGAATCAGCTATATTGCGTTTTGTATAAACGTATAATCTTTATAAGTATTTTTATAGATAGATTATAGTTACTTCATATATATTTTAGTTATATATATATGTATAATATATATATATAATATATATAATATATATATTATATATATATATAATAAAAACTTATTATAAAAGCAACAGTAAAATATGTACGCAAGCAGTTCAAATTTTTCTGGGAGAGTTCAAAAGTGTTTGAGATCACACCTTGAACAATATCCAATTTCAAGCCGAGCCAAGCCAAGCTGAGCCAATTTCATTAAAATAGAACATATACACAAGTTTTATTTGCCAAGTAATTCTATTCTGAATCTGCTATATTGCTTTTTTTATAAACATATAATCTTATTAATTATTTATATACATGAATTATAATTACTTTATATATATATATATATATATATATATATATATATATATATATAATATATATATTAATATATATCGGAGAGAATTCGAAATAGTTTTGAGACCACACCTTGCTTAACATCCGATTCAATGCCGAGCCAAGCCAAGCTGAGCCGATATGCGTAGATTTACAAGCGCTTTTATATTGAAATTTTGCTCGCTTTCTATATATTCATTATAAAAGCAACAGTAATCAGTGCTATATATGTACGCACGCAGTTCAAATTTCAAGGGAAAATTCAAAATTGTTTGAGTCCACACCTTGTTTTACATCCAATTCCAAGCCAAGCCGAGCCAAGCCAAGCTGAGCCAATATGCGTAGATTTATAAGCGCTTTTATATCAAAATTTTGCTCGCTTTATATATGAATATCCCCCAATATACGGTACCGAAAAAATAATGCGAGCGAGTTTAACAAATAATTTAATTTAATTTAAATAGAGCATATACACAAGTTTTAATTGCCAAGTAATTCCATCCAATCGTTTAAACACGCACACTCTCCAATTGAACATTCTCGCAATCTATTTCTTTTTATGATTATCACTTTTCTAGATTTTGAAAAAGCTTGTTTTCTTGGTGTGGAATTTGAAGGGATTCATTTCACTAAGTATAGAATGTGTATGTGGGAGTTTAGGAAAGTTTTTTAATAACATTTGACCAGAGTTTAATTGGTGTTTAATTATTTCCCATAGTTTATCATTACATGTGATTTGAATGTAGGATGTTCGCTGTTAGAGAAATTAATTGTCATTAACATTTTATTTATAATAATGAAGAGACATTATAGAGTTATATATTATTTGATAATTGACACTGAAAAAGACACTGACAGTAATTTATTTTGTCGAAAAAACAGAATGACTGAAATTCAGAAGAGCTTTTGGTTATAAGTTTTTTACTTAAAAAAATCTATAAATAGTCTTGACGAGGTTGAACTCTGAGGTGGTTAAACTGTTCGTGTCATCATCATCATTATCGTCGTCGTCACAGACATCCATCCACCACCATCATCGTCGTTTTCTTAATCATTATAACCTTCATCTTCATCATCAATATTGTATTAATTTAAGTTTTTAAGATTTATAAAACACACATTATAGCCTCAAGCGTAATTTTTTTAACATCACTATGATATAAATCATTAAAATTAATTTAAAAATCAACTAAAAGTGCTAATTAATAAAAATTTAAAGTTGAATTAAAATGTCAATTATTGCTACAATCGGTTAATAATCGTCAATAATTCAATTGTAAATGGCAAGCGCCACATCAATCAGTGATAACCCGAAACACTAACGATAACTAATAGTGACATTAAGTCAAGTGGTTAATTTGAAGTGGAAAATTTTGAGTCCCTAATCGCTTAACTAAGAAGCTAAAAACGATGTAGCTATAAAAGTTTCTAGCCACAAAAACTGCAACGTCAACGCCCCACCACACCACATACACAGGCAATTGTGTTTGACATCCACACAACAACGACCTAAGATTTAGTTTTATTAAATTTCAAAGACTGAATACCTTTCAGAATGCTCGCTAAACTCATTCGAATTTTTTATTTTTGAAATTTGTTTTACTTACTTGTTAAATGTTATTATGTAATTATTTTGTTATAGTTCACAAACATGTTTAGCAACAAATTTTTCCCCCAAAAGGGGGCTGCCAACCTCGGTGTTCTATGAAGCTATCTCATCCATTTTTCTAATTCTACCCCTAATTTATTTGACTTCTATCACCAGATGGCTTGAAAGTTACAAAAAAGATTTTAGAATTTCTTCAATATATAAAAATAAAAATATCAATAAAAATTTCAAATTTTCTAATCATAATACGATGTTTTTATCACGAGACTTTGTCAATGAAAAAGTTTGAAATAAATAAAAAAAAGGTGCTGGTAAAAAATGTCGTTTAGTACAGAAATGAAATTTAAATATATAATACAAAAGTTGATACACCGAAAAAATGAAGAATTTTAACAAGAATAACTAGATTAATCTCAAATCAAATCAAACTTTGTATTTTAATTTTGAAAAAAAAATCATCCACAAATAATATCGATTCAAGTATTTTACAATCTTCTCCCAAAGATATAGCCAATTACCGATAAACCGACAATAACTCGAGTTGAAATGCCGGAACTTATGCCGACCGAATCGTTACAGAGGTCGGTGTGACAAACATATGCGTGTACGAATTTTGTATTGTTGTCAAATCTCTGGTTGTGATAGCCGGTCTTCGACTTGTTCTTTGTACAAGCCCTAGAGTACGATTTTTCATCTGTTGGGATGATGACGATGGCGACGATGGAGATGATGTTGATGAAGAGGAAGAAGATGATGAGGAAGAAGATGATTCGATAGTTATACTGTTGTGATGATCATGATAATGATAACGAGGTTGATATTGGTTGTAGGAGAGTGATGATGATAAAGACGATGGAGATGATGAAGATGATAACGATGATGAAGATGATGATGGTGACGAAGATGATGATGGTGATGAAGATGATGATGACGTTGCAGATGATTTAATGGTGACATTTATTAATAAGATAATAATAATAACAATAATGCTGGTGATGATTTTGATACTGATGATGATAATGATTATGATTACGGTGATAAGATGAAGATGATGGTAGTGTTAACGAATGGTAATTATTTTTCATAACTTGACCTTTGCCATCTGTTATAGCGAATTTGACGCATGTATAACCATTGCATTCTTTAATGCCTGTACCTATTAATTACGAATTATAATTTATCATTATTATTATAATTATTAATTATTATTACAATTTTTATTATTATTATTAATATTGTTTTTATCAGGGCCACCCAAAAATTTTAGTGACCCGGGAAAAAATTTTGGGTGTGGCCAATTTGGTGTGACTTTTTGGAGTATTACTTAACCTTTAATGTTTGGTTGGCCATGTTCGAATGCAAAGAGATTCCCTGTTTATCATATGCATAGAATCTTGAGTGTTCCTATGCGTTATGTTTGTGTGTGTGTAGGTGTGTGTTTTGTGTGTGTAGGTGTGTGTGCGTGTGTGTGTGTGTGTTATTAAATATAATTAATTTTTCAATTTTTTTCTAAAATCATGTATAATATACCTTTCACAATGATTTCAGCGCACAGATATGGGACTTTATCCGAATCACACTCATAACATTTGACAGCGTTCGCTGGTTGCACGGTCAAGATGACGACAAAAAGTGATGACGTAGCAAGTAGAATGAGTACATTTGATGACGGTGACGATGATGACGTCATTCCTATAAATATTGTTTTTGATAAGGGTGATATGGGTTTGATCGTGCGAGAATGGTAGTGAGAATTTACAATGACACGTCATAAGAATGAGTGAATTTCAGTAATAATTGTGACGTCATTTTTGTGAAATTTTACTAGAGAGCATAACGGTAATGAAGTTTTAGCTGTAACTTTAAAAATGCTGACGGAAATAGTGATGGAATTACTCAGATGAAATAGATCGTGACGTCATTTTTAGAAGTTGTACCAAAAACACTCGATACTGATGATAATAAATTATACAAATTAACTACATATTTGAATCATTTCAGGTAAAAAGAAACAATTTTCTTATTAATATTTTTTTTTAAATTAAATACCGCAATTTTAAAAATACTAACTAACTGCCTGCACATGTAAACTTTTCTCTGTTTTGAATAAAATTGTAAAATTAATTTTAAATATCAATATGAAATTTATAAAATTGATTATTATCAATATTAATCTCTCTATTCATATAATAATTCATTAATTTTAAGTATTAAACGATTATATTAATTATTAATTACTTTGTTTATGTTCTAGCTGAAATTTTACCTACATAAACTCGAAATTATTTTACAGTCGTTGAAGCAATACGAAATTTTATTATTATTATCAATAAGTGCTCTTGAAAACAACAAGAACCTATTGGCTGGTATCATTAAGTTGGCGTAGATATAAACATAGATACATAGCTACATAGATACACATATACATACATACATACATACGTACATACATACATACATACATACATACATACATACATACATACATACATACATACATACATACATACATACATACATACATACATACATACATACATACATACATACGATGAATGTACACACACAGACACAGATACACACAGACACACACACACACACACACACACATATATATATATATATATATATATACACACACATACATACATACATACATACATACACACATATATACATATTACTTTAACCCAACATCACTAAACCTTATTTTTATTAATAACACTACAGGTATGCACTACTATCAATGTTTATTATCTTTCTCAACTGTTACTACAAAATTTTTTTTCATTTGCTGTTCTTAGGTGTGTTACTTGGTGAAGTATTTGTTAGAATGATTAAACACTTATACAAACTTCTGGTCTCAGTAGCTAATATAATATAAATTTTAAACTTTCTCTATTTTTTTTTATTTCAACATTTATAAAACCCCCCAAATAATACATACATGCACGCGTAATGGATTGATATTTCATTCCAAAAAACTGGAACTGATGAATATAAAACACATTTTTCAATTGTTTGTTTGATAAATTCATTTTTTAAATAAATGGTAAAATTATTTAGTATCAATTTTGGCGTTCACCGAGAGTTTTGTGAACAAGTAGTAACGTAAGAGTGTCATTTATAACTTTCCAAAAAAAAAATCACACACCCCAATAACAAACAAATGCACATTAATTTCATATTCATATCATTCAATTCACGTACACTCGCACACACACACACACACACACACGCAAACACACGCACACACACGTACACACACACGCACATTCAAATTAAGCGTAAAATAGCACACCAAAATCCCATCTCCTATAAGGCGATGTAACGAATTACCGACGATACAACGACGGCGATTACGAGAATCGGGAGTGTCGATTCGAGACCGATACCGAGACGGGCAGAACCGTTACAGTGGTCCAGGGCGCAAGCACAGATGTAGGCGTCCATTCCGTTATACTGGGTCATCTGACATCCTGTGGCTATGAACTTGGAAAAACAGTCCCTTTCGAAAAACGTCCCCCCTGTGATGATGATGATGATGATGATGATGACGAGGAGGAGGAAAAGGAGAAGGAAGTTGTGGTTTTGATGATGATGGTGATGAATGTGGTGAAGATAGTGTTACTGTGTAATGATGACGATGAAGTTGTGATGTTCTATTGTAATGTGATATTAACAATTAGTCTGCCACTCCTACTACTACTGCTGCTGTTACTACTCTTACTACTACTACTACTGCTGCTGCTGCTGCTGCTGCTGTTATTATTACTACTACTACTACTACTGCTGCTGCTGCCGCTGCTGCTGCTGCTACATCCATATTACTATTACTACTACTACTACTACTAATATCAATTCAAATTCTACATCAACTACTTCTACTAATACAGCTGACCACTATAACAATAATAACTCACCATTTTTTTCAATTTTTACTTTAATACAGACATCACCAGTGCAATGAGTAACAGCACTGGTGCTTTTGTTGTTGAATGGATCGCCACAGAGTTGCGACTGGCTCATTTCGCAGCGGTAGCAAGAATACGCCTCTGCCTGTGGAGTCGTCAAGATGATGACGACGAAAGATGATGACGCCACTAGTAGAGTGAGTAACTTTGTGAGTGATGAGGAGGAAGATGATGAGGAAAAGAATGATGACGATGTCGTCATTTTTGATGGTTTCTACAGAGGTTTAAGCGTTGTTTTAACGATGATGAAAATAACAGTATAATATACCCGTATGCTTTAGTTAGAACAAAATTATTTTCAATTGATATGAGTACATGCAACCAGTTTTCTGATTCAAGTAAGACTGTTATAATTATTATTATTTAGGTTTCTAAAGAAACAAGTCAACATTGAAAACAATGTTTCACCATTAATTACAAAGCTATAACAACGAAATAAATGTATGCAAATTTTATTTACACACTTTAGTCTCTCTCTCTCTCTCTCTTTTTTTCTCTCTCTCTCTTTCTCTTTCTCTCTCTCTCTCTCTCTCTATATATATATATATATATATATGATGGATGGAGACCATATTTTATACAGTATTGGATGAATTCTACAGAATTGTTGGCATTAATCAATTTAAATGAAAAGACAAACTTTAAATTAATTAATGCCAACAATTCGGTATGATTCATTCAATTATATATATATATATAGTTAGTAAATAATTTGATATATATTTATATATATACATATATATGATACATTGTATATATATATACATATATATGAAACATTGTATATATACATACATATATATGATACATTGTATATATATATATATATACATATATATGATACATTGTATATATATACATATATATGATACATTGTATATACATATTGTATATATATACATATATATGATACATTGATACATTTGATGGGAGTTTTTTTTTGATGATTGAAGGTTAAGTCATGTGGTACCGTTGTATAAGAAAGGAATAAAAGATGAATTATAAAATGAAATTTAGATCCAGCTTTCTACGTCAAAGAAATTTGATTAACGAAATCTGATTATTTCCTTAAACAGACAGCCGACAGATTGGCAACGACAAATAACTCCGATTGAATTTCTTTGTTTATAACGCACATTTAGAAGCGTGATTGTACCTCTTAGAATTTCAATGAACTCTTTTGAATAAATTTGATATATGAGTGTTGAGTATGGTGTATGGGTATTCGCATAATTCTTTAGAAATTTTTTAAAATGGCATTTTTTAGTTTAAGAGATGAAACTTTGACACATTCAACTTAAAATAAAGTTTCTGGCGTTTTATAGTATGGATAGGTTAGAAGTCGTTAACAGATTATTACCAATTCTTTAAATTAATTAAAAATAATTAATTAGATAGATAGGTTAGATAGAATTTTAGATATTTAATTAATTATCTAATTACTCGATAACTTCGTCATATTCATCGTAATTAATTCCATTGTCTTCAAAAATCTTTGACAGCTCGTCATATGTGTACTTGTTGCAGAGGTTTCCACGACACGCACAGTACTGAATTCTACCCAGGTCCTCCGTGCACTGGTCTGCTTCCACATCACCATGACTACACATTCTTCTAAATACGTACTGCTTATCTGCGAATTATTGCAATAAATACAGGAGTAATTATTATTTTGAAATTTTAAATTTTATCGAAAGAAGCACATAATTTTTCATGATCCTGTGACCAAATGAGGTCCAAAGTCTGCCGTTAACTTGAAAACAGAAGCAAAAACAAAATTTTAAAATAAATGTCTCAATGTTAATGTTAATACTGATAAAAATAAAATGTTCGTTACTAATATTCAGCATGTTATAAGCAAAATGTTCAATAACATTATTAATACTCTTAAATTTAATGTTAGAATAATATTCATTATAATATAATAGCCACTTCACCAAAAATCGCGTCAAAATCGCAGTCTCTGGTGGCGAGATAGCGTAATGGTTAAGGTGCCATAGCCATGTTTATGCAGTGCACTGGTTCAAATGCAAAAGAACTTCGATAGCAAGAACTAATATAACCATCAAAATAAAAGTTATTCATCTTATTATTACTATTATTTACTTATTTATTTATTTATTTATTATTAATATTATTACCTGTCAGAGCGTCTATGATGCAAGAAGAAGGGGCCTTACACTTGTCCATCTTATCAAAACTCTGTTCACACTCCTCCTTACCGTTACAGGAGTAGCATTCTACCTCTGCGCTAACCTGTCGCTGGGGTGTCGTCGACAGCAGCAGCAAGGTCGCTACCACTACTGCGTTTGTGAAGTACATTCTTTGTGGCTGCGGCTGGTAGCTTGTGGTTAGTGGTTGGTGGCTGTGGCGTGCAAGATGCCTTTGTGCAAACATTTTATAAAAATGAAATCATGATAATTTGGGCCTCTATAATAAAAATTATAATAATATGTAAAAATAATAATTATAATAACTAAAATAATATTACTACTACTACTAATAATAATAATAACAATAACAAATCCCTTTGAAATAATAATAATATTAATATTAATTAGCTATAACGTTTTAAGATGTTAAAGTAATGTTAATGAACATAGAGTTGTAACCCTTCAGAAGCTGCTGAGACAGAAAATAAATTGTCTATCTAGTCACTGATTTAAATACACACCAAAAGGCGATCAATATCATAACCGTCATAAATTGTCCGCATCATCATCATCATCGTCATCATCATCGTCGTCGTATTTTTATCATAGAAAATAATTTTCACATTGCCACTGAATCACTTAGAGATTATGTTGTCTTTGAATATAAGAAAATCCAAAAAGATGACCATAAGGATGAGATTAAGAATAATAATTATAATTATTATAATTGTTACTATAATAAAAACAATTATTATTATTATTGAAACGAAATTATAAGTAATTGTATGAATATATTTTTAAATACTAATATTCTCCGCTGGTTTATTCTTATAAAACACGTACACTCATTCACTTACACACATGTTTACACATGCATACACACACATAAACGCATATTTACACACCCACACACACACACACAGACGCACACCCATACACACACACACACACACAGACGCACACCCACACACACACAGATTGCTCAAACATCTGCTTATTTTTCACTGCCCTTTGAAAATATGTCTGATTGACTTTGCGTGGTGAATATATAGCGAAAAAAATTTATAATTAATTGTTGGCGTATCGTACGAAATTCTGATTCTTTTTTTTTTACAATTCGAAACTGGCGACTTTAGAGATTTTTACAGGTTTTCTGTACTCATCAGAGGCAGTTAAACCTTTCTGTCAAAGAGGTTCTAGTCTATGACATCGACGACACACCATCTACAAACGCATCTTGTCAACAGACTATCAAACATTCCTCATTCCTTATCTCTATTCATCCTTTTGAGATATAATTATAAAATTTTGAATAATTTCTTCTTGGATTTTGATAAGTCAGCATTCGAATCCGAGCAGCATTGCAGTAACAACAATAAACACGGCAGTCTTACTATTTCGACTATTCTCATTGATTTATATGTCGTTTAGACATTTTTCGAGAATTTATTAAGGGTTTTACGGTTATTGTTTAAAAAAAATTGCAACAATTTTGCGGCAGATTTAATTATTTATTGTCTGACATGGTTAATTTTTAGTTAATTTATGTATATATATAATTTTATTTTCCAATAAAAATGAAACAGATCCGATTATGATGCCAATAATTCTATTTTTAAAACCTCTACCACAGTGAATGATATCAATATATTTTTCTGTATCCATTTTATGTCAATTAATATATCATCACGAACTTCTAAATATTGTCTTTATTAACAATTAAGATGAGTTATTGATGTTTATTATCATTAATGTTTTTTAATTGAGTTTAATTTCATTCCATGTTCGTCTTTCATCTCATTGGCTCTTCAACAGCTGGGAAAAAATAATTAATTAAACTAAATAATTAACCAATTAATGAACTAATTAATTTATTGAATCATTAACCCATTAACATATTACCAAATTAATCAACTAACTTATTAACAGACTATATAATTAATTAACTAATTGGCTTAATAGCATCAACAGACTAATCAATTAATTAAACAATTAAGCATCTTACCGCTTCCAAATTGCTTTTCCAGCTCGGAGTAAGACAGCCTATTGCAGAGATCCCCTCGACAGTCGCAGAAGTACAACTCGAAGTACTGTATCTTCGTGCAGCGTTCTTCTCGCGGCTCGCTGCGACAGCCTCTCGTGTAGATTACGTTCTGGTCATCTGGGGATCGATAAATAGTTATACCAGTTGAGAATAATGATTTTGTAATAACATAATTCAATTATAATTAATTTGGTATCTATTAGAGTTAAGATAATATATGAGTAGAAAGAATACTGATAACATTTCTCGTACGCTTAACTGCTTATTGTGTACTGCTTTCTTAATTCAATAAAACGTTATTTAGTTATAATAAATACAATAAGGCACGGGGTAGAAGGAGATGTCCCTTTCTGTTATCAACAGTTTAACAATCTTTTTTAAAGTGGTTTTTTAAAGTAGCCAACCTATATTGTTTCATTACTCCGTTTAAAATAGCAAAATTGACAAAATTTGTGAGAAGGAGGAGGTCAGCGACTTAGTTTAAGCTTCTCCCGAAAAAAATTTTCAGTTTTGGTCCCCTCCTACACAAATTTGGCCCTTCGTCAATGCCGGCTCCCACATCAAATTTGTCTATATTTGCCCATGGATGTAAGTTATAACTATAAGAGTGGTGTAATGGTTAAGGCGCTTGGTCCCGCTGTTACAGAAACCTGATTCGAATGCAAGAGATCCAAGCTTGCCACAAGAATGAAGATGAGATGTGTGTGTGTTGTTGACATTTTTGAAAATTAACTAACAAGGAAATGATTGATATTAATATTCGATGATAATAACAATATAAGGATAAAATATAGTAATAAAATGTACGTATACCATTTACAATTTTAGCGACAATTTTTTTTTTTTCTATTTAAAAAACAGCGCGCGACTAACGTTTCTCAGCTTCAGAGTAGCAAGAGACGCCGCGACACTTTTTGATCTTCTCCAAACCCAGAGCACACTCATCGCGGCCACCACACTGATAGCATTCAACGTCCGCTTCAACCTGAGTTTCGTTATAAAGTTATAATATCAGTATAATTTTAATTATTTCATATCATTCTTATATTTCTAATTACAATAAACTATCATGCTATTATTAAATTGTGGAATTATTATTAGTAGTAGTATTGGTAGTAGTAGTAGTAGTAGTAGTAGTATTGGTAGTAGTAGTAGTAGTAGTAGTAGTATTGGTAGTAGTAGTAGTAGTAGTAGTATTAGTAGTAGTAGTAGTAGTAGTAGTAATAGTAGCGGTAGTAGTAGTAATAGTAGTAGTAGTAGTAATAGTAGCGGTAGTAGTAGTAATAGTGGTAGTAGTAGTAATAGTAGCGGTAGTAGTAGTAATAGTAGTAGTAGTAGTAGTAGTAGTAGTGGTGGTAGTAATAGTAGTAGTAATAATTGTTGTAGTAATAGTAGTAGTATTAGTAGCAGTAGTTGTAGCCCCGCAATTGTAGTATCATTAGTAGTTGCGCGCAATTGAAACATTTTTATCATCATTAATGATATTAATGTCATCACTATCACAGTTATAATTTTAAATATATTAACCATAACAATTATTATTTTCGTCATAATTATTTTAATTATTTATCTGTACTTTTGCTAGCAGAAAGATTGGGAGGCAGACAATGAAGAATTTTAAAGTTGCTGAAGCCATTATAATAATCTCTATGTTCTACTGTATATCTGTTTGTTGTTTTTGGTTAATTTATAATATACTTGGTATATTTATAATATATTTTTGTATGAAATATATATTCATGAATAATTATAATAATAATTAAATACTATTTTAATTTATTATAAACGTTTAAAAGTTAATTTAATGGATTTACTAAGGAAATTAAAAATCATATGAAACGAATAATGATAATAACCTGTTAAACGGATGGATGTTACGTTTTGATACATGGATACATTTTAATTTATATAGCGTTAATTTTGAAATCAATTATACGGGCAAGCAGGCTGTCGTCGGCATCATCATGTTCGTCATCATCGTCAGCTTCTCAATCTTCGTCGTCGTCGTCATCATTTCGACATCTTCGTCATCATCATCATGATCTTTATCATCAGCATCTCATTTTTTTTCTTCATCATCGTCATCTTCTTCTTCATCATTATCATCTTTATTATCGACATCTCATTCTTCATCATCGTCATCTTCTTCTTCATCATTATCATCTTTATTATCGGCATCTCATCTTCATCATCGTCATCTTCTTCTTCATCATTATCATCTTTATTATCGGCATCTCATCTTCATCATCGTCATCTTCTACTTCATCATTATTTTTTTCTTCATCATCATCGTCGTCATCCTTATCATCATCATTAACACTGTCAACATCATCCTAAACATCCTCCTATCATCTTCAACTTCATCATCATTATCATCACTATCAACAACAACATTTCTTTTTCATCATCATCATCATCATCATCATCATCATCATCATCATCATGATCCAAATTATCAACCCACATTATCACCATAAACATTTTTTTTGTCTACCACTACTACGCACGCTATGAAGCAGACACCATCATCGCCACCCTCATCATCTTCGTCGTCATCATCATCATCTTTATCGTCGTCATCATCATCATCTTTATCGTCTTCATTATAACACCTGGTTTATTTTGCGTGGGTTAAAGCAAACAAATTTAAAAGTTAGTCCGCACAAACGCTCTCGCAAATCATTTTCATTGCTATTAAATTATCATCATAATTTTTATTATTTATAATATCATCGTCATAATTATAATTATTTATACGATCCTCTTTTTCATCAATATCGTTCTCATCACCGACAAATATTATTTATAAATTTCGCAAAAATTTATTTAATAATAATTATTATTAATGCTGAAAATTGTCCTCTTGGAGGCAATTATTTTTAAAACACATGACGTCATCGTCATCTTCATCGTCATCATCGCCATCTTTGCCATCTTCGTCATCTTCATCATCGTCATCTTCATCGTCGTCATCTACATTGTCGTCATCTTCATCATCATTTTGAAGTTTTTTTCTACCTTACATACAAACCAATCTTTTCCAATTTTTCCAAGAGACAGATTCAAAAACATCCATTTAAAAACTGGTTTTATTGTAAAAACTTGCAATCCTTTCAAAAATCATTTACTATTGAAAGTATCAAAGTGAATGAAACTAGCAAAGCTCAACCAAAAAGGAAGCATTTTAATTTTATTTATTTGAAAACGAAAATAGTTTGTAAAAGTTTAAAATTAATCGGTAATAAAAATTTTTATTCATTCATTCACCCAATCACTCAGTCAGTCACTTGTTCACTTAATCTTTCTCTCTTTTTTTTTTTCTCTCTCTCTCTCTCTCTCTCACCTCACTCACTCACTCACTCACTCACTCACACACACACAATCTTTATTCTTGGCGATTATTTATTGGCACTTATAAAAAGTATTCATGGAAAAGCAGTGAACTAAAACAACAAAAAAATTGAAAGATAAAATCGTTAAGTTTTTGGTAGACATTTTGAAAGCTGAAAATATATCGAAAAATAAAAATTGTATATCATGATATTTTTTCATATCAATTTAACTTTGGCCTCAGTACATTCAATCAATTTCACTCTAATCAATATTCTTACTAATTTGTTCCCCAAGCACCCATGAAGGTACAGGTCAACCGGCCACCAATCGGTCTACCATATATCAACAATTAATCAATTACTCTTATATTCTCCCTTTTATTCACTCACACACACACACACACACACGCACACACGCACACACACACGCACACACACACACACACACACACACATCGCACACAACACACACACACAGACACGCACACAAACACACACCAATTTTCCAACTCACAGCAGCAACACAACCATATGGACGACAATCACCCAGATTGCAGAATTCAAACCAGAGCCTGTGTTTGGTTTGGTGGGAGGGCAGAGTTCCGTCTCGTTAAGATTGCTCCTGACATTGCATTTATCAGTGTTACAGGTGCATAGAGACATTGTTATTGGTTCTTCTTTCAGCGTTTTGCAACCAAGAGGCATGGAATCGTTCCCGTCACTACACGTTCTCACGATTTGATACTCCTCTAAAATGGTGAATTGTTGTTTAATTCTCTATTTAATGAATTTCAAAGGTATCAAGAAACATGCACAGTGTATTTAAATAGGCTTGAAGCAACTGATTGTGAAAGGTGAAGGTTATTTTGCTTTTGAATTTAGTAACCCGTGGTTATTTTGCTTTTGAAACTAGTAACCCGTGTCAACAAAGCCAGGCATCTTGACCATTACACTATTTAGCCTCACTATTTATATAACCGTACGTTATAAATAAATTTTTCACATTTGAAAACTATAGATTGGGCTATTGTAATTGTAATTTACGTAAAATGTACTGAGATAAAAGCTAAAGAAATGAACATCTAATCATTTAACCAAAAATTACCTACCTACACACACTCACTCACTCACACGCAAATATGAGAAAATGATGAATAAAAGTTATGATTTTAAATAGGTAGAAGATTTTGTAATGGAATGAATACGATGATACGGAATGAGTTGGGCGTCAAGATGTTGTAGGATTTTGAGTAAAGACTGGGGGGGGGGGGGGGGGGTAAATTAAACCCACAAAACGAAC